TAACCAGATGACATCTACTCCGGGTGGTCAGCCAGGAACGCCCATGACATTCCGTGCCGACAAGGACCCCCGTAGCAAAGGCTCGCCTGCTACCTTCTCCCGGTCTGTCGTTCTGGACACAGGAGACGACATTGACTACAGTCTAGACTCAACCAAAGATATCAAGCCACCCCATAGCTATGCCCAGCTCATCGGCCAAGCAATTTTGAGTAGCGAGGAGGAGATGCTTACTCTTGCCAACATCTACGACTACATCAAAGCCCGCTATGCATTTTTTCGACACACCAACAGTGGATGGCAAAACAGCATTCGTCACAACCTGTCTCTGAACAAGTCGTTCGCAAAGGTTGCACGCCGCACGGATGAACCGGGAAAAGGCATGAAGTGGAAGATTGCCGACAGCGAAAAGGAGGAATTTATCAAGAAGCAGCTTCTCAATCCTCGCAAGGGTGGCGGTATGACTATAGGGTATCGTATCGACGGCTCAGGGCCTAGTTCTCCTGCACTCGGAAATCCAACCCAGGCCACCGAGCGTCTTGTGGGTGCTTTGGAACGTGACAATCGCTCTCAACAATACGCTCCTCGGATCAAGTCACCCCCACGCTCTGCAACGCCTCCGCTTTCTTCCGTCCCTGTCGCAAACGAGTCATATACCCCGGACCGTGGCCCACGTCCATACGGAGGATTCAAGCAGTCCCCAAACACCCGTGATCAGGACCATCGTTTTGTCACACCTGCGAAGCGACTTATGTATGGAAGCAACGAGGGACAAGGTACTTATATCAAACAGGACGAATCTCAACGACACCTCGAGTCTTCGCCTGGTGTAGACCCTGTCAAGCAGAGCGTTCCTGGGATGAAGACCGATGTAGGAAATTCTCCACCAACCCTGTACTCTGATGCCGCCTCCAATAGTATGGGCGGTAGCTATGATACAGGCCGGGTGAACAATGCGCTTGTCACACCCTTGGTTACGAGGCATGCACCTCGCCTTGCGCCTCCCAGCACTGCCCAAATGCCTAGCCAGTATATGGCCTTTTCCAGTCCTGCTCCCTTTTGGAAATTTGTCGATCTCCCTAGCACGCCTGCCAAAGGACCCCTTGAGCTCAGTCCAATCAAACTACAACGTCCGGATTTCAAGGATGGTGACGACGAAGATGACAATCACCCTAGCTCGCCGCCTATGCTACCGGGCAGGAGTGCCGAGCCTGAAGATGATCAAGACCAGGATGGTGAATTGAAGGGTGAAGACGATGAGGATGCTGGTCCGGAGAGCCCAAGCCGCACAGTTTCTCGACCCGTCAGCCGGCGCGAGATTGGAAGCCAACGGTCACGGTCAAATAGTAATGTCAATGGATTAGGACTGGGAATTGTAGGCAACGGCGGAATGGTACGAGGAGCAAGTCTGGGGAGTTTCGAGGAGGAAGCAGAACCCGAGGAAGAGAGCTATGATCTTTCCAAGTACGTACTTGTCCCACACCTCCGTCTTACCACTTTTGTGGTATAACTCTCCTAGTTATAAATGAAAGAACCAATCAACTGACCAAAATTGCAACCAAATAGGGGTTTCCAAAAGATCGGCTCATTCCATCGCAGCATGGCTCAAGCTCATGGCCTGGGTAGTCTTGGCGGTCGATCAACTGCTACACCGCCGCCTCCGCCCCCGCATATTTCGCGCACAAGCGTCCCCGCGAACATGTAAGGGGCGGAGGGAGTGGGAGTAGAGGAGAAAGAGAGAGACAATCACAGATGGCCTGAAATGAGAATGATTACATGCAAGTATGAGCACGAACGATATATCGATATCGGACTTTTTTGTCATGGGGAAATGAAAAAGGGACGTTTGAACGGGGGTTGTTTGGAGGGTGGTTGCTTCGTTTTTATTTCTTCTCTTCAAATCCGTATATTTGCGTGTGTTGTTTGATTAGCTTTCGGGTCTTTCCTTCCCTTTTCATCATCATCTGATTCGGTCTGTATAAAGTTCTCTCTTTTTTTTTGCAGGGGCATGGTCAGGTCAGGTCAGGTCAGATGAGAAATCCGCATCTTGTATGACTAGCATCATTTGTTGTTGTTTTCCACTTGGGGTTATTGTTTTTGTCCTTTTGTTACCCCAGGAAAAGGGATATAAGGAGGGGGCACTTGCTAGACTACTCCGCTATGGCGTTATTCATTGTTGTTGTGTACATGGAGAGAGTGTTGTGGGGGGTTCAACGAAAATGGGGGTAGGATGAGGTGGAGGAAGAGAAGCATTTATCGTTGATGATGCCATGTATCTTTGTATCTTTACCTTTGTAGTTTTACTCTTGTCATCTATCCATGATGCGTGGGGTGATGTGGCATAAGCATACATGTCTCCATAGCAGTGAAATACATGAATCATCACAATTGCATGAAACACATTTGAACATATCACTTCTTGCGTTATTCCGTATGCCAGCTAGACGAGAGATTTGCCATGCATACATACGCATATCATTGTTTCTCCTGCCCTTATCCATCAACCTGCCGCCCATCTAGTTGATCTGCCTATGAGGAAACCATTTGCTTGGCTTAAGATTCTTCTCCTCAAGCGGGGCATCCAAAACACCCAGGCGCCTTATCTCGCCCGCAGAAGGCGCATCGTCGCGCTTTATGTTGGCTTCGGCCTTGCGGTAGGCAGCTTGCAGGGCAAGAGTGCGTGCGGCCTGTTGAACACATGTGTAAGTTTTGGTATTGGAGAGAAGTGTGTATGTATGTGCGTTGAGTGAGAGTGAAGAAAGGGAAACACGGACCTCCTTCTTGTGGTGAAGACACTCGTAGTAGTCTTCAAGAACGGGGGCGCATTTTGCCTTTCCGGAGTCGTCCTCGGCGTTTGTGTTGGTCGTGTAGCACGCGAGGACTTCTTGCCAGAAGGGGAAGCAGCGGGATGGGCCTGTGGGGTTTTTTGTTAGTCTGAATGTCGGAGGCGTTTGGAGATAAGGTATAGGTGGGGGGTTGGGGAGCTGTAATGGGTTGGCGGTAGGAGGTTTCAAGGAAGGTCGGCGAGCGAGCGAGCAGGTATCGGGGATCTGACGGCCTCGCTTGCGTGTTGCAGGCCAGGATATATTGGCGGTATATGCGTGTATGGTAGGCCCATGGCTTGTATAGGTGCCGTGCGTCCATCTCTAGCATCTCCCGATCTTAATCCGTTGTACTCGTGGGGTGATGGTCTAGGTCCTGGGTCTACGCGGTAACCCCAATCTCTTGCTATCCATAACAATCTCTCATCGTATCTCCAACCATCTGCATGCGTTGATCCGGTATCCGCGCCATGTGGTCGGCGTCGTCGCTCTTCGCATTCGTTCCAGTTCCGCTCTTCGTGATGCGATTGCGCTCCTTGAAACCTTCCGCCACCTCCCAAACGCCCACAACATATCCAAATGGAAGGCATCAATACGTACCACCAGCAAGTCCGTATCCAGAAGCCATTGTCGCGGTGTTTAAGTGGGGGTCGTAGGTCGCGATGCGCAGGTGTAGACGGACTTGGATGAGCTTGTGTTACGTCAGCAGCGCACGGATTCGCTGAGCCAATCACTGCAGGTTATTTAGCTTGACTCTCCAGCATTCTAACACCATCTATTCTTATGTTATGGAAAGACAGGCATGCACCAGATTTGAAGTAATCAATTTAGAAAATGTTTGGGCGTTTTTTCCTCTTTCAATACAAGAATGTAGAACATTACTCTTGTTGTGTGGCGGCAACTTTTTGAGAAGCTTGAAGCGACATTACTGGGTGTCGTTGTCTACCAATAGCACAGCGCCCCATACCATACCTTGCCCTTAGCATGCGATATATCGCCATCAACATAAGCCTGAAGAGAATCACACCGATTTGCTACTTGTTATGTTTGCTGTCTGAAGACACACGCGATGACAGTATTTGATTTTCTAAATCACGCATTAATCTTTGTTATAGGCTTTCCGATGGCCAGTATCGAACATTGATTTAAACACAGTCGATTAGACACGCCGATGACTTGGCCAATCAAAAGCTTTACTATAATTATGATGGTGAATACACCAGAGCGATAATTGGACAGCATCATGGGAGACCCGCCACTATCCAAGACGGCGATTTTGGTTAGCTTAGACCCCTGCCTGAAAACCACGGTTCACTAGAATGTAATAATCAATGAAGCACTATGACTACATATTGTATTTAAAACACTGGCTGCACTGAGTACTGGTTTCGCGAACTAAGCTCTCTTGGACCTTTGATGCTACAACGCACTTCTGCTCGAAGCCCAATTTTCATCACCTGAACCGCTATTATGGATTTCCCACGTCTACCAGATGAGATAAAAGCCGCGATCTGTCAGTCTCTAGTATCCAGTGTTGGGATTCCTTCATCATGGAAATTACGGGGGGTTTGCAGTAAGTTTGTTCCGAATCACCCTTGAACATGACTGATTATTATAGGGCTCTTTCAGGAGGAGATTGAGAGAGAGATCCTTCAAAACCAGCCACAAAGTGCATTCTTCATTGATGCTCGATCACTTTCGGACGAGGAAGACGAAATCTGGATTTCCCCGCGGACTCCTGAAAGTTACACTCTAATTCTCCATTTCATGCCGCGCTTTCTACAGGCCAAGGTCGCGAACTCTGGAAGCTTCAATCCCTCCCTCCCTAAGGCTATCATGCGAATGTTCAACTATGTAGCACGACCGCTAGACTCTCCAGATATATATGCCCTTCCTGGGTTGAATGACACATACACATCGAAAGAGATCATTGCTCAGATCTGTCAGAGCATTTGTTGTGTACTCGGAGATGACGTTGTCCTGAACTTTCTCTTCGCAGGTACGCCTACACCGAACTCTATTATTCGACCAGCCGAAGAGCCGCTCAGGGTACTCAACGAGACATTCGATATCCACTTTGAAATCACAGCCGCCATTGCAGTTCATAGCGCCAGTCGTGTGCATTTACTGGTTCGGAACCTGTATGCGGATTCGTTGCAACATGGGATTTTTGGAAACCATCTGATCAACGCTATCAAGCTCGGGGACCTAAAAATTGTCAAGGAACTAACTGAATGCTTCCAAAATCTTCGAATCGGAGAGGCAGATCAAGTCACCCTGGCCGACAATACTATGGAAAATCCTCTTATTTACGAAGCAATTGAAACATCAATTAGTTACAACAGAGAGGACATTCTGCTCATTCTCGTAAGGCTGATACGCCCCACCATTCCCAGATTCGAGCTCAGAGATCTCAAGGCGTTCGAATCCTGCGTCCGCATGGTAGCCCACACCTCCAACGTCAGAGTACTAAGATATCTTTTCTGCATTCCAGTTTCATCAAAGTGGACATTGACAACGAACATTATGCATGCGATTTGCGATTCCGAGGACTATGATCTGATTTACTTCGCATTTTGCAAAGCTGACTGTGCCTACACACATCCAATCTCAGAAGAACATCCCTTGCACATCGCTATCCGGTCTGGACTCGAAGCTACGCGAGCGGTTTACGACACTGGAAAGTACGATATCAACGAACGCTTGAGCTGGTCATACAGGATTTACTCGGATGAACCTGTCACAGCACTAGATGTGGCAATTTATCAACAGAACTATGCGATTATAAAATGGCTCTTAGATCATGGGGCCCATTATCGGAGGAGATTCCCTAGTTTTTATATTTGCGGCAGGATATACAACTATGTACGAGATCGAGCTATTGTGGACGACCCAAGAATGGTAAACTTACCGTCTTATGGGCAGTATGCGAGTATGAGTTGGGAGGCGAAGGAGAGTTTCATATTTGGCCTAGGTTAGTAGTTGTTTGGATGGACTGCGCATCGTCGTCAAATTCTTCAAGCTGATCATTCGACTGGGAAAGGCGAAAAGGGACAATAGAAAATTTCTAGTAACGGTCTGAACACATGAACAGTCATCTTGTTACTCTTCCCCAACAGCACTATTACCATTTCAAAGAAAGGAGAGCTTGATTTATGAAGCCTTTGCTGTTATGCCATCAAAGCCGTTAGTTGTTTAGCCACTTCGCGCCTCAATAACATGATTTCGAGTCTCAAAACTATCAATAAGCACAAAAAATACCATATCTATTTCAAGTGAACCAAAATACATCCACTTCTATTATCTATCTACTCCTGGTGACTGCAAAGGGAATTCTTCTCATTCCATCGGCAAGAGAAGCAGTATTTTGAGTACGCGATACGCTCATTCTCCTTAACCACCTTCGCAATCTTTCGGTTTTCCCGCAAAAGCTTTTCGTACTCATACTTGCCTGCGTTGGATCTACCCGTACGACGCAGGTACTCTAGACGCGCAGCCAAGGCCTCGAGCATGTCATCCTGATGTGGCTTGGAAAAGCGCTCCATAATCTCGGCTTCCTTGAGCGTAGGAATACGCGCATGCATATGGCACTTGTACTGGGTGACAAGATGCTCGATGTATTGCTCCATGCCTAGGTACTGCGCCGCATGACGGATGTGAATGGCTACAATAGCCTCATTATCTTTGGATGCGTGAGTAAGCTCAACTTCCAAATGTGCATCAGAGACGCTAATAATATCGTTTACCCATTTCATAAGCTTTGCAACGGCATCGTCATCAACGGACTCCTCGGAAATGTTGATGGATTCGGCATCGGGATTTGCTATTAGGCACTTGCGGAATGCGGAAGAGACAACAACCAAGGCTAATTTGGACACCGTGGCGATGAACCTTTTGCCATTCTTGTTGAATAGATTGACTGTGCCTGCTGAGAGAAGCCCTTCGCGGGCAGAGGACGAGTAACTGCGGATGTCGTGTCCATCAGACATTTGATCCATGTTGTCAATTGTACCCTGAATCTGGGTGTAAGTCTTGAAGGCGTCAATGCCAAGCGCTTTGGTAATGTTGGCGAACATTGTGGTTAGTTTGGAATGGTAGTTTTGACTGTGATGGAAATGTGCTGTTCAGCTCTGCTTGGCCGAGATAATGCTGGGACGCGAAGTATGTTCTGAGTGATAAGAAAAATCCAAAAGTGAGTTCTTATTTAAATACCTTGAGGATAGTGTCAATGTAAGTTTCCGGTGTTCATATACAAATCGCTTGCTTGTAAACAGTACATAGACTTTTCTTTCATGAAGATGAAATCCAGCCACTCTACGCATGTACATTGTTTCGAAAAGTGGGTGCCCGACTCTCTGGCGTTGTTTGCGATGAACAAGGGCGAGTCGAACTCTTCCAACTGGCGCAAAGTGTTTCATACGCTGTGTTGACACCAAAAGATTGCTGATCCTCAGATATTAAGCACCTGTGCGCCCGAAACATCTTGTGATATACTGGATCAGGAGTACTTGTTCTTCATGATTGAAACCAGCGTCATCGGATGGGGCGGTGGCTGCCAGTGAAAGAAGCAGCATCGACCAGCCACTGTCGCCCGCTAGTAACACTATACACATCAATGGTATCGCTACGGCCAATAAGTAACGTCGGAGAGGTATTCAGCCATAAATCTGTATTACTCCGCCTATTCAGCAATACGACTAGTAGAGTTAAAAGCTTTTTGTAGGGACTGCTTTATCTAGACCGTTATATCTCTAGCAACTCCGAGTGGACAGAGCGCGAATATGTTCTGATTCTTGCATAATTTACAATAATAAACTTTCGTTTGGTTTAGTGGTGTAGCCTTCTTCAACCCCAGCAGTAGGGCGAACCTCCTTAAACTGACGCCTCAACTTCATCCATGCCGACCGTGGTAGAAGGCGCAGCCCGCCGTAGAATACAGCCTCATGCCATCTATGATTTCCCAACTTAACCTCGTTTCGCCACCAATAGCTCCATGTATCTAAAAGTAACCACCAGTATCTATCAAGAGACCTCCATGTGAGGAAGGCCCTCAGGATATCCTTACCTCGAAAGAAATCACTTAAACATACAAGGGCTTTCACAGCAACCGCCCCAGCCCATTACCACTCTCCATCTACCGACAACACTGATACTACGACTTGTTAGCCAGCATTCCAACATCCAACATTCTCCCATCATCCACCCCCTAGTATGAAAAACAAACAAAGCGAAATCAACACTAAAACTCACATAAGTAACACAAAAACCATTCTTGATATCACAAGTAAAATGATCCACGTATGGCATCGTTCCTGGAGTGCTGCATTGGAGGTACTTGAAATACCGCGGATAATGATTCCAATCCCTGCATTGGTCGCAGTTGGGCGTACCGTCGCTGGGTAGATTGTAGTGATACATGTCTCTGGATCGGCCGCAGTATGGGTTTCTGGATGGCGCGTTGGGTACTTGTGCGAGTGCGAGGGATGCTAGCATGAGCAGGGTGGCGAGGACGGACTTCATGGTTTTGACGGATGATGAAAATTTGGCGCGACGGAAGATAAGTGTTGAATGTTTGTTGTGTATGCGGTGGAGGATTTGGGCAGTTGACTGAATTGTGGCTGGGAAGTTTTTCTTACTTAAGTGTTTTCATGTAACCGCTTATGGGTTTAGATTTAAAAAAAACAGTGTACTGTACATAAATAAGACCCGTTGATGAGCCGGAATACGGTGTTTAGCGCTTAGATGCTACCTGAATTTATCCTAGGCGAGTACTAAGGAGAACCCCGGAAGGTAGTGCGAGAAATGATCTCTGACCTGAGGTGAAGGGAGGCGTCAGTGGTGGATGTTAGGTTCCCCGTTGTGACATTCTCCCAGACCTAAGTCGAGGCGCTATCACAACCCCAAACCTCAGCACGCACGAGCATGGAACTAAGATCGGAAACTTTAGGTGAACTTGAATTGAAATGTTGAAACTAGGTCATGGCCGACATCGCTGACATCAGCCCGTAAAATCCCAAAAAAAGTGCCAAAGATAACGCGGTTTCCAAGAATACCTACTCTCCATATTACAAAGTAGTAGTGGTAGTACATACGTTGCCCGTCGCTATGCATGCTTCCAAAGTCCAAACCTATCCAAATAATATCTAAAATCTAAGCCCTTTAACAAACGCCATTGCCCAGGTAGGACTTAAAATTATAATCTCAATCTCCCTTCCTCAGACCTTCCACCAAACAGACTCAGAAACCCGTTTGCACGATCACTCTCACCTCTCTCTACCTGTCTTCTACTGCGTCCGGCTTCGACTTCGTCTTCGCCACCAAGCCACTTGGGCCGGGTAAAGGAAAAGTCGTTGGTTTCGAATGTATTCTTGACCCTGGAGGCAAAATTCTCGAAAAAATTTCCTTCGCCTTCGTCGTCTTCTAGCAAGGGTCGCCTTTGCTCAGATCGGACTCCTGAAGATCGTGTGATGCTGCTTGGACCATTGGTGGTTGCTGCTGAAGCAGCACGACTGGATGATGCGGGTGTTGGATTGTCTGTGTAATGTTCGTTTGGTGGCGATGTTGTGCGTTGAGAAAGACCCAGGACATTTCCGCTCGCGCCCTGGACTTCACGTGCGATCAACGCGCGGCCTTCACGCCAAGAACCAGTACCTGCATGAGCACCTGCTGCTCCGTCTTCTTCATCGTCCAAAAGATCACCAAAGCCGCAGATGTTCTTCACTTTACCGTAAAGACCGAACGCCGTTGCAAAGACCGGGACGAGGATAAAGATAGGAAAGAAAGCGCTGAATCCTTCACCGAGCGGAGTTAAGACGATGAGGCGACCAAGGAATTTGTAGAACATGGTACCCTTCCAGATGTTCTTGTCCGTCATCGTCAAGAAGTTGTAGCTCAGAGGAACGGTCAACTTCGCAACCTGAAGACCATACCATGTCGCACTCTCCTGGTAGGTATTGCGTCGTACGAGCGCTCTGTTGCCCCAAATCTTGACTTCAGTAAGACTGTAGAAGGCGCAAATACACATGTAGCATAGCCAAGCTGCAGCAATAACCTGGCTGTTGAAGCCGACGGATGAGCGACCGCTATCATGACGATGGACGACTGTCCAACCGATGATAGAAAGTTTGGGACCACCAAAATCCTGAGCTTCGCGAACGCATTCTGACCAGACAATGGAAATGGAGGCTAGAATTGCCGTAGCCCATGATATGTATGTCAATACAGGAATGATATGAACGTGGAGGTGGTACCGCGTGAAGGGAGTAAGAAGCGTATAGCGATCGAACAGGCCTGTATGAGACAACCTGGCTGCACCCTTGAATTCGAGATGTTTGCTGGCCTTGGAGTCGAGAATGGCTTGTGTGCGGACGGCTTTCCGTACAATGTGGTCCCATTCGTTTTCAAAGCGGCATTTTGCGTGTCGCGCGCGCTTCAACTTCCTCGTCAGCTCTGCAAGATATCGCTCTGTGATGACTGGTGGAATCGTTGTCGTATTTCCACGTCCAAGGATACCCGCCCGACTTTCTGGCAGGTTGCTCCTTTCCGCTATCTCGTCAATCCATTCTTGAAATTCCTTTGGAATACCATTTTTCCTCTGCTTGAGTTGCACAACCTGGAATTCGTACTGATCCAACTTCTCCAACGCCTCGGTCAATCTTTCATGGACTTTGGGTGCCTGACCCTGTATTCTCTTTAATCGTTCGCTGACGCTCGCGTAACGAAACAAACTCCGTGGGAACGCGACAAGCCCATGGCCCATGAGGTAGATGCCTAAAATAAGACCCCAAGTATAGGCAAGTGCCATGACCAAACTCTTGAAGGTGTCAGCCTCGAAGCCGTTCCACCATATCAGGTAGGCGGAGCCGACAATGCTGCATGCCAGCAGGATGAGCCAGTATCGTCCATTACTTCGAAGCGCATACTGCAGTCTGGCTTTGGGCTCCCTGTATCCGCTGTCGCAATATTCGCCGAGCATAGGCAGTATAGCCCATGTAAGGGCGAATGTGAGCCAGTAGATGACGCGCCATGTCTTGTACACAACCGTGTCATTTAGCCATATCCCCCTTGCGCCGTCAGTTGTATCGAGTCCGGCGCTGCTGGCGAGATCGATGGGAAGCAGGACAACGATGCTGGCTGGAAGAGCTATCGCCAGGAATACGGGTAGGACGACGTATGCGGGTGTGGTGCGAAGCGGGAGATAGTAGCGTAGCAGCAGGAGGACGAGACCGCATATGGAGAGTAGTGAAAGGACGAAGAAGGCAATAGAGCCGGACGCTGAAGACGTCATGGTAGCGCGCGGTCGCAAGTACGCATAAGAGAGGCGACGATGGGCGTGTGTGATGGTTAAAGGAGATTGCTGGGTTGGTGCCTGAATGCCTGGGCAAAAGATGGTTCGACGGTTGTTACGGGCAGGAGCAAGCGTACTAGGAAGCTTCGGAATACTCAGTCTCGCGTCGGAATGCGGAAGTTGCGCGACCCGGTGCACCTCTTATTGCCGTCTTTCATCTATCTCAAGCAAGACGACACTACCCATTCTACTGCTTATCCTCTCCTTGGTTAAACGTCCAAAAGCCCCAAGTCCCTTAGTCGAGCCTTGGCCCTTTGTCCGCGTAGCCTCAGCCCTATGCGCCATGACGACGGCAATGGCTAGGCGCACGGGCTACTGGTATATGCTTTGGTAATCAATCGCCGATCAATCTCCGACGCTAATTGGCGGCGAATCCGGATGAGCGATTGCATCATCCACTGTCAAGCTGTCTATTCGGCGGGGGCGCATCACTAATCCACTTGGACGTACATAGCAATAGTACATCTACACTTCAAACAGATCCATTGCACATACCCTTCCTCCTGCTAATCTCCACAACGCCTCTGGCTACTTGAGTACGTCTTCCTTCCACACAAACTTCATCATACAAACCACTTATACACATAATCAGACCCTACAACCGCCAAAATTTCGTTCCTGCGCCACTTCTTCACGCGCGCCCCCTCACCCACAACTATGTCCGCCACAAAGACCAAGGTCCAGTCCATCATCGACGAGAACCCCGTCGCCGTCTTCTCAAAGTCCTACTGCCCATACTGCAACCAGGCCAAGCAGCTGCTGAGCGCCAGCGGCGCAAAGTTCTTCGCCATCGAGCTCGACCAAGTCGGTACGTACATACATCTTGCTCATTGACACAGCCGAACGATAACTGACCCCTGTTCTACAGACGACGGTTCAGCAATCCAGTCTGTGCTCGCCGACATCACTGGTCAGAGGACCGTTCCCAACATCTTCATCGCCCAACAGCACATTGGTGGAAACAGTGACTTGCAGGCCAAGAAGGGCGAGCTCAACACCCTGCTCAAGGATGCTGGTGCCCTATAAGCGTCCGGAAAACTGCAAAGTAACATGATCCCTGTACTTAGTCTGGCGATACTCGGCGCGCAATAAAGTACATTAGCAACTGCACTTGCCCAACATCTTGCCATGTGAGCACTTGATTAACGCCAAAGTAATGCATTTGAAAATAAACTTGCCCATGGTAAATCTAACAGGGGTTATCTTGTGGTCATGCTCATGAACCAAACACTAGCCCACCGAGTTTGGGTACAGCTTCCAACCAAAACCTCGAGGGATTCGTCATACATTGCTCCTCTCCAAACTCTCACTCACACTCACACTCTACGTCATTACCCATACATGCTAATCATCATGTCATTCTCCGTGCTCAACAACACGGACGCAATTGGACCCTCTAAGTCTGCATTGCCTCGGTGAAGCTTTGGGCTGCTGTCGTCGCAAAGTATCGCACATCCACATCATCATCTTGCTGTAGCTTCTCTAGGTTGGGCAAAATGCTCTTCGTGATGACGTCCGTTGCCTTTTGACATCCCTGACCCGGTGTGCCTGCCTTCTCAAGAGCAATCACCGTACCCTGTTCTGGAAGCTGTTTGAGTGTGTTGATCAGTTGGCCATACGACTTGGCCACATTGAACCGGATGTTGGGAATGTCGTCGTTGACAAGCTTGTCCATCATGGGGATAATGGATTGTTCAATGACGTCAAGGCTGAGGGCAGGTGCAAGAGTCGACACCGCAAAGCACGTCGTCATACGGTACAGGTAGTTGGGGTGTTGTCCCATGGCCATGACCTTGGGAACAATGGCGTCGTTGGCCCACTCTACGCCGAAGACCTCGGTGAGCTTCTTCAAGTTCTGAGTCGATGCCTCACGGATCGAGAAGACAGTATCTCCAAGCCAGCTCATGCACAAACTGCTGAGCTTTTCGTCGAAGAACTGCACACCGAGTTGGGAAGCAAGCAGGGGAACGTATTCGATAATGGCAAGACGCACGCGCCATTGCTTGTCTTCGGCAAGTTGTACGATGGCTGGAAGGAGAGACTGCGAGAGAAGCTCAATGCCGATGACGTTGTTGACAGACTCGAGCTTGGAGATGATGTTCAGTCGCACGTCGGGGAACTCGTCCTTAAGCATCTGCAGGAACATGGGTAGGAGATGTGAGATGGTCCTAGTCAGAGTCAGTACTGCAGCACGTGGTCACGCGTTAGTGCCCAACTTACTCCTCCTTTCCAAGAATAGGTGCCAGCCCACTAATCTGAGTGCCAAGCGCGGCGCGGACATGCTGCGATTGATCGGAGACCAGCTCCTCTATGCTGGGCATGACCTCGTGTAGGAGGGTCTCACGCTCAAGGAGTGCGCAGAATCCTACCATGTTCAGCCTTTGTCATACAATATCGTTCCGTGACCACCTACCTGGAATCTGACCAGCAATCGCGCTACGGACCTCCGCCTCAGTGTCCTTGAGGAGCTTAACGAATGCTGGCACAAGGTCTCGGTTGACGACCTCTTCATCCACTGCTTTTGCGATCTAATACCGTTAGCGCATGCCTTGCTTGATCCCCGCCTGAAACGCACCTTCTCGAATCGGTCTGCCACCATGTACCGCACCCTCCAGCTTTTGTCCTCGAACAAACTGCGCAGCGCAGTCAACAAAACCCCGTGGCTCGACTGTTGCTCCTTGGGTACTGCTTCAGCGATGGCAATGAGAATGTCAACAGTCAACAGCCTGACACTGTCCTGGTCGTCTGCGGCAAGGTGCTGGAAAAGCGGGATCATCTCATCGATGACAATAGAAGGCGGCATGGCCTTGATGAACTTGGCCAGGTTGTTCGCCGCCTGCCTTCGTACCATGGGAGTGTCATCGTGTACTAGCTGGCCATAGTGTTGCCTAAGGGCCTCTTGTGACGGGGGTGTGGCGCGAGAGTAGGGGGTCTGATAGAGACCTGTGGCGGAGATTTTGGAGGTGAACCAATCGGCTTTCGATAGGCGCAGGACAAGAGGAATGAAGTTTTCTTCGATCTGCTGCTGCGAGAGCTCCTCGCAGATCTTGTTAAGAGACTCGACAGCCTGTGCGCGTTAGCTGTACCCCAGGCTGTTAGAAACGAGTGCGCGCACCTTCTCCCGGACAAGGGGCTCCTCTATAGCTGCAAGGTTTTCGAGTGGTGAGAGAAGCACATGTGCGTGTTCTGGGCCTCCCACGTATTCGACAAACTTTCCCAGCTCCTCGCTCAATGCTGTGAGAACCTCGTCTTCGTCTTCAACGGACTCTACAGGCCCGTGTTAGCCACTTGCAGCGCATCCAGGGTTACTCAACAGGTTTCTCACCATCTAGAAAGGGTATCAACTCCTCGCGTGTTCGCTCAGCACCCAGGGCGAGTGCAATCGTGTTTAAGCGATGAATTGCATTCAAGCGGAGAATAACGTCGTCGTGCTTGAGCTCATCGATGAGCACGGCGATGGGGTAGAGCTCGTCATTCTGATTTGCGTCCATGTCGGGTGGGTGAATGTGTGTCTGAGGAGTGTAAGTTTGTGAGTGCGCGGTGGGAGTTGGGCGCGGGCGTGGTGTTGACGTACCTGGTGTTGGCGAGGAAGCGAAGAGGGGTGTCAGGGCATCTGGGCAGGCACTCGAGAGAGGAGGACCGAGCTTTTCAGCCACCACAGCCACAGCTCCAGTGTTCAGCGCAACAACCGTCGAGATACATTTTCAGGCCATGAATTTTCCGGCCAAGGTAGATATCGTGGTTGGTTTACTGTGTTCTTTTACGTCAAATGTAGAATAGGCCACGACCTTGTCATGCCGTACGTAGCAGCGCAGACTCTGAATTTGACGTTGCAGATTTGTGGCTCACACCGCCACATTCATGGATATGATTCACTACAAGTTAAGCCAGAAATAGCTAGCTATTACAATAATAGCTGCTTCTTATACACTGCACTACCTGCCAGAGAATATATCAAGCCATCGATAACAGGGTCTTACAAACCTTGGAGTAATGGCACAACTACAGGGTTTGTAAAATACCACCCCCACTTCTGCCCAGTGCTGTTGGTATCTTAGTCTGATTTTTGCTGTTGGGAGTACAACTATGATATTGCGGCTCAACTTGGTGCAATTTGGCCAATCCCCTTTGGTCTCTCCCTATACTGAACGGCTTAAGAGTATAGTGCTGCCCCACCCAGTTGCGTTCATCGATGTAGATTATATTCAACAATTGGGAACAGGGCAGGATAACGCAATAAACTGCCAGATTCAAGATGCCAGAACCTACCAATACCTGAGCCGTACTCACCTATTGTGCAATCCTTCCATATAGCCATGTCCTTTACACTATTTGCCATAGAAACGATTGATGTTCCGTCTCATCGAGCTATCTCCAAAATAGGTTTAGCGTTTCTTCTAGATCCAGAGCACAAAGAGTACCCCTAGTTGACGAATCAAGGCAGCCATTTCTCTATACTCACTTAAGAAAAGGAGATGTCAGCCGAGTACCATTTTTCACATTCCAAGAAAAGAAGCAGTCAGCTGCCTAAGAAACCTAGTAAGGAGCTATGCTCGATAAGAGAGGTCACGATAGATCTTTCGCTAGCGTGCGGGGCCAATCGGAAATGACCAAAGATTGGTTGCAAGAACGGCCGTGAACCTTGGTCAAAAACCAGTATAGGTGACGCAGTGCGGGCTCTATCTCCAAGCCACCTCCATCTCTTCAGTAGCTAGATATCTCGCGATGGACGACGCACACAGTATTGATCATTCTGGAGAAGAGCCGCCCAAGCCAAACGCTACCGAATCTGACCCGTTACTTGTACGACAAGATGCAGCTCCATCCGCCCCACGAGTGACCCAGTTGCCTAGACAACTCACCACACGCCACGCATTTGCTGTGCTTGTTACTCTGCAAATAGGCTCAGGCATATTCGCGTCACCGGCACAAGTCGACAGCAATGTACCTTCTCCAGGTGCTGCTCTTCTGGTCTGGGTACTTGGCGGGCTGCTCTCATGGGCAGGAGCTGCATCTTTCGCAGAACTAGGTGCTGCTCTACCGCTCAATGGCGGCATGCAGGAATACTTGCGCCACGTTTACGGAGACACCGCGGCGTTCCTTATGGCTTGGGTGTATATCCTGGGCGTGAAGCCCTCATCGATGGCCATTCAAAGCATCGTTATCGCGGAGTCTGTTGGTTCAGTTACAACCAGCTCAGACAATTTGCCAGATGCCGGGTTACTCAAGCTCATTGCTGTCATTGTTTTTGTAGCGATGGTGTTGCTCAACTCCATCAACACCAAATTCACGATGAGATTGAGCGAATCATTTACAGTCTTCAAGCTATCAACAGTCAGCTTGATAGTTCTCGGCGGGCTTATTGCAGTTATTGCCCACTTGGTGAACCCAGAATCTCATCTTTCCGGTTCTAGCGACTGGTACTCAAAGAGTTGGTTTCAACCGAGACCGACTACATCGGACGGCCAAGTTCTTGACTGGTTGTCTATGGGCGCCTGGGACCGCTATGGTCATTATTGCGCAGCCATTTACGGTGGATTGTGGGCTTATGACGGATGGGACAATGTAAGTCTGCACAAGCTGTACACGCGTTTAGCTGACTGACGACAACTTTAGGCCAATATCGTGGCGAGCGAAATTCGCGACCCAGGCCGTGCCCTCCCAAAGGCAATCAAAGCTGCAATGATCGTAGTTCTTACTTCCTTTGAGCTGGTCAATATCGCGTACTACATCCTCGTGCCTTGGGACAAGCTGAGTAGCAACAACGCAGTTGCAGTCGCTGCTGGAACAGCTCTTTTTGGGAGACCTGCTGGCATTATTATTACTCTCCTCGTTGCTATTTCCTGTGCAGGATCGATCACCAGCAACGTGTTCTCAGTGGGCAGATTGACCATGGCTGCATCACAGCGCCATTACCTTCCGGCATTCTTCAGCCAAAGGGGCATGCCACTGAAGCAAAGAGCTAACGGAGATGACACTTCGTCACCCAGATTCGATGCTCCAATGTAAGATCGCCTAGTAATTTATTCTACGCGAAAGCCTGCTAATATAAACCACAGATATGCCAACGCGTTGGCCCTTGTGGTAACCCTAGTATACATACTGACAGGTAGTTTTCGGGAACTACTAACGTTCGTTGGCATGGCCGAATGGGTTTTCTATGTCAGTACTGTTGTCGGACTCCTTGTACTCCGCCGTAGAGAGCCACAACTTGAGCGACCTTACCGTCCAACTACCATTCTTCCAGTCACATTTGTGATTGTGGGTACCTTGGTCATCGTACGATCTGCTATATTTGCTCCTGCGCAAAGTGGAGTGTTGGCAGGACTGCTGGTAGCTGGTGCTTTGGTCAGTAGATTGCGAAGCAGCCGAAGATCACAATGATCTGAGGGGGGGGGGGGGGGGCAGAAATTTCTCCTGAGCGCCTGAACAGCCCCTCGCAAAGAATATGGTACCAGCACAAAGTAATGATGCATGTATAATTCCCAGCAGCAAGCCCCTAATCACTCAATATAACCCAATCCAATCTGCATCATGTACGCAATGGTGAAGGTGCAATTAAACCTCAGGAGTCCAGGCCAGGAAAGCATACGGATCCAAGGCACTAAACAAGGGAGAATCATCTCACGGCATTGTTATGCTTTTCCCCGCAATGTAATCCCAGTACAGAGGTGGCTGTCAAAAGTTTCAGCCTATAGGGAGGTAGCGGCTGGAAGTTCTTGCTAGCGTCATCTCTATTGGCCCCGTATTCTCTACTCAAAGAGAAGAAGCCCAAACTCCAACTGTAGCTCTAAGAGAATTGATCTATGTAGAATTACTTATGGGAATACATCCAAATACTAAATGCTGTATATATTGTTTTGAAAAATTCAAAAGAACAAAAGCGACAAGGTGAAGATCAAGCTCTGTAATGGCAGAAATACTACAGCTGTACTATAAACTCACTGTCAGCAACAATTTTTAACCCTGTCAGCTGAAACTTTCAACAGCCACTGCCAAGTCGCGATCGGCATCGAGATATCCTCGATTCCCATGTCAACAGGCTGTGGAAAATGCTGTACGCAGTACACCCTTCGTTACTTGGATTTACTTACCAATCGATTACCTCAGAATATACGCTATCACTTACTCACCGTCGCCACGGCAGAGCGATGCTAGCCGGCTGTCCCGGCTGCAGATCACCCGTTTACTGAGTGACATGTAAGTATATCGCTCATGCACGCAGTCATTTCAACGCGGTGGCGGTGCGCAACAGCCATGTTCGCCGACGTCAGCACAGCGACAACACTGTAGTACGGTTCCTGTATGTCGGGTCACTCTTACCCGAGGCACTCTGATCACTAGACGTTGACGAGGCTCAGCAATTCACTCTGCTCACAGGCAAAAGGTTTGTTTTTTAGAGACGCTAAAATGACGATCAGACTCTTGCTCAGTTCACTTTATTCCTAGCTTAATACAGAGAAATACCAGACCGTTCTGAACAATCTCAACGGTGGAAGCTACACTCTTTACAGTATAGCTCTTACTCGCTACCCCAGTCTGGCTTACCCCTTACTAGTGGCGTATAAACCCAGTAGACTACCAAGCATGCGCTTGGCAACCGCACCCATAACGGTTCCTGACAGGGTTGCTCCCATACCCGGTAGCTTTGAGTGTTCTCAGATTTGGTCCTCAGTTGAGATCGCTTCGTCGCGTTCCCCAATTCCGGCTCTCTTTCCCCGACCGTATCTGGTGCGACCAACCGACGTGCAAAGTAACTTCAGGCTGCCGATAGCTGATTCGTGGTGCAATCCCCAAAGTCAATATTTCATTTTGCTCTCTCTTTAATGCCTGCCCGGCTTTAAACATTTTCCGAACCTTCTTCTGCCCGTTGCTGACAAGGCGCTACTGACGACAAGTGCTCGCAGAGATGGTTGCATAACCCACAAAGACAGCTCAAGCAGTACATTATTTCCTGGAAGCTGAATTTCGGGGGAGGATACGCATTTCTCGTGTCTGCAAGCTGCGTAACACAAAGAGACACTAATGACCATTCTACGGCTGAACCGAGAATCGTGAACTCCACAGCCCAATGGATATGCGACGATCATCGTCTACCTACATGTGATATCGGGAGATCACCAATAGCGTATTTGCGATCCCAACGTCTCTTAATTGTTCTGCACAAGGTATGGAGCAAAGAAGATAGACAAGGGTGGACCTTGTGAAGTTGAAGCTACGCCCGTCATGTTGCATCCAGACGACGTACGGTGCACATACGATGCTCCATGGACGAAAACAGACGTAATCAAAACTTGGAAAAGGCGACCAGAGAGACCGCGTGGCCTGATCAGTGCACCGGAAAGGAACACGAGTAATCCAGGTGATAAAATGTATAAAAGGAGACCACAACCTGCACTGCCAGTTGAATCACCATCAGCATCAACCAGCAGCTTCAACATCTTACCTTCGCTTTATTCACACTCGCTCAAGACCTTGTCTAAAACCTTTTAAACTTTTCAAACAAATCAACATGCGTTATACTGTCCTCGCCTTCGCTGTCGGCGCCACTGCCGCTCCCCTCGCCAGCTACTCTTCCGGAGTCTGCCCTATTGGACTATACAGCAACCCTCAATGCTGTGCCACTGACGTCCTTGGTGTTGCCGCCTTGAACTGCCAGAACCGTAGGTCTCTCTCCTTTCTACTCCCATCACCTGGCTTTAAACGCACGACACTGATTGATTATTGTAGCGGCCACCACTCCCACCAGCGCGGATCAATTTATCAGCGGATGCGCTGGTACGGGTCAGCAAGCCAAATGCTGCGTCATCCCAGTTGCAAACCAGGCTGTCCTTTGCCAGGATGTCAGCCCTAATGCAAAGAGCAACGGCGGTGCTAACGGAGGCAACAACGGCGGTGCTAACGGAGGCAACAACGGTGGTGCTAACGGAGGCAACAACGGTGGTGCTAATGGAGGCAACGGCGATGATGGCGACGACAACGATGATGGAGACAACAACGATGATGGAGACAACAACGATGATGGAGACAACAACGATGATGGAGACGACAACAACGATGGAAATGGCGATGATGCTGATGGCGACGATGACAGTGATGCTCACGGAGCTGGTGACCAATCCGCTAAGACCCCTACTTCCTCCTATCCTGCTTCCCAGGAGACCCCTTGCCCTTCTGATGTCCCTTACTAGAGAGTAGAGCGGGTTTCATTGTGGAAAGCAGAGAGTGTGGGCGGTGTAGGCGTGGGAGGGATATTGTGCAGTGAGAAAATCAGGACTGTACTGTAGCATTCGACAATAACATCTGCAGTGATAGCTTTCCACCTCGCTTTACCTTGTTGTGCTCTTTGCTGATTTGTGAACTGACTTACGAATCCGGGTCAGCCGTACGAATCCGGGATTGTGATCAACACTGACTGAGCTATTGAGAATGGGCACTGTGAAGAACACGACGTGTTGGGCATAATAGTAAGATTAGAAAAGATCTAGACAACTATCCATGCACATCTGTTCAACTACCACCGTGTATCTGGAATAAATACGCAAGAAACATGACATGCCCTTCAAAATACTTAGTTGACATAGCACTGCAGTGCTACACATGACAAACTCTCGCCGGTACGTCAACATTAACTTTCTAACTATGTAGTCCACACACCCCAGCTAGTAAACTACGCGCCGGACGAAACAAGCAACACACTACTCTCCGTACTCTCTGTATACTTACAGTACTCTCCGTAAAAGCACCGATCCAAGACCCTCGGCGCTGACTCACGGTCCGTTTCAAAAAGATTACCTCAGCGCATACGCCGCATCCCCCACCAACCAACGCAAATCATTCAGCCCTGCCACCCCCCCTCCCCCCCAAAAAACAGCCAACCAAATACCCAAGTCCCCTGACCCTTAGCCTCCCCTATCGCGTATAAGTACTCATCCGAACCCCTATTCTCGTTCCTCATCATCACACGCGGAGAAAGAGAAAAGAGAGACAAGAAAGAAAAAAAAGGCATTTCAAATCACCACCGAAGCACCATCCGATTCCCCTCTTCCGAACCATGACCGCCGTAGTCGAAGCGCCGTGTGCCAACAAGCCATAGTCCCAAAACGTCGACTTGCAGCGGCTGGCTCGGGAGCGAAGGCATCATAGCCAGATGGAAGTGGGTCCGTTCCCCCCCCCCCCTTCATCCAACCTCGCCTAGCGGTGCGGGCCGTGGGTTAAGGCTGGCGCCTCGTTTGTAGCCGGTGCACGAGTCTAGAATGCACTTAAAGGAAGGGGGGCGGGTGGCAGCGATTAGGCTAGGTTGGGTTAGGTACGTGGTGTTGGGTGTTTATTTATTTTGGCTTTCTCAAGGGAAAAGGAAGGGTGTTAGTGTTCGAGAGAGTTGGACTAAGAGGAGGGGGGAGGGGAAGTGCTGTTTTGTGGGTTGATGAGGATATGGGTGATTTTCTATATGCCCGCTTGTGAGTGAGGTTTATATGGAAATGGCGGCGAACAATTACTACTACTATTGGACAGCCCCCAAAAGGTTAGAATGCGAAACCTACTAGAATCTGAAACTAGAAATTCCGAAAATTAAGAAAAAAAAATCCTAGATCTACTGGAGTTTTAGAAGTGATGGGATGAGTTCTTTCCACTTGATAGTGGATGGGGAAGGTAAGGGAGACACCGTCGGAGACCCTAGCGTCGCCCCAGAGGTCTACGTCAGAAGGTAAACATTAATTCGAGATGTTGATCATGTGATGTAAAATCCTGCGAAGTGAAGGCAATAAGGATATCAGAATAAATGGATTTTAATGCCACTGTTACGAGTATATAGCTACTCGGCTCTCAGATAACGTTTTGCAGTATACTACGCCTTCTTAGGCCGTGTAGTGCAGTGGAGCCGAGCTGTTACGTTATATAAACTCAACTATTCTCACACACGCTATCTCTACTAAATCGTTAGATAACTATTCACAGTGCTTATACCAATGACTGCTTGGTCTAAACTATATTGAGGCTGGAGAAATATAAGCACTTGACTCTATGGACCATCAAACTACAACTCTTAATATTACAGAAGGTAGTAGAGTACTTCTAGGTACACTGGATATTCTAGATGCCCACCAAACTAGCTAATCTGGCTAGGGCAATGTGTATTTGGAGTGGCTGTAATGAGCTAGACTAGCTAGAGTTCTTCTACTACCTTGTAGATTTGGTATAACTTGATTTGTTTCTGAATACTTATTAGATAGCGCATTAGATTAATTACCCTAGAAAAGAAGAGCAGGCCATACCCTAATCTTCTGGAATTAGGTATCGAAAAAAAAACTTTGTAGTTAAAGTCAGACGATTCGAATAAGAAGCATGAGCGAGACACTGCTTTTGAACTCTTGAAAATGAGTTAGTAACACTACCAATACTGTATACACCCCTTAATTAAATGTAGTATTTACAGGGTTGAGTTCTAACCTTTAGAGTGCAATCGTTACCCGTACGCATACCTCTTAGTCTAGAGGGTGACTTTTGCTACTAAAGGTGACTTTCGCTACTGAAGGTCACCTTTACTCCCCACTCTCCTTCCCTTCTACGCACCACTTTCTAACTTTGATACACGCTAATTCTTATCAATCATGACTACAAATCCACGACACTAGAAACTCTCAATTATATTACTGCCTTCTTGCTAGTAGCGCATAATTAATCCATTGATTCGTTCAGTTACTTCTTGATTAATTCGCTCAATCTAATAGATGTAAGGAAAAAAAATAGTAGCGAGAGAATAATCACATTAGAAACGCCCGATTAGAATTTACTGAATTAGTTGTTCCGAAGTGTGTTCCCGGTCCACTGAAATGTCTAAATAGAAATTACACCAACTAAAACAGCGCAATACTGAGAACAATGTAACTACACACTAGTATTATCAAATAATATGCTTTGTTCCTATAGTGTGATCGCTCAAGCTAGAGATATTTATCTACTTCTCTGCTATCGACGTTGCGGAGGTAAAGGGGAAGGTAGTATCACACTTATCTAGCTATTCGGCTCTTAGATGCTGCTATGTAGTATACTAGATATTGCTAGGACGTGTAGTGGAGTGGAGTGGAGTTGAGCTGTTGCGTTATACGTAACTACTCTTCTCTATAGTAAGACTCATGGTTCGACAGTATCTATACCCGTTTAATCGCATATTCGTCTGTTCGTTGAACTCTAGTGATTTTACATACAAACTCATTTTTATTCCAACGGTGTTACGTCGAATGCAGATAGTTGCAAGTGCCAGCTCTGTTTTAATAGTTGCAGTTTTTTTTATCTAGGGATTTCAGTAAACTAAGAGATGTGTAGTTTCGTGTGGAGGGAATGCGTCTTGAGAAATATTCTAGAATGTAGTTTGAGTAAGGTAGCATCGCTGCAACTGACATGTGTTTAAAAATACGGGGATACATAAACGAGGCTCCTGTTTCGAGGGATTATTGAAATTTGTATAGTGCGAGGACATGTAGTCATAATACCAAATATCCATTTTTTGTGATAACATTAAGCTTGGTTTCGTAACGGTAAAATAACTTCTAACACACTGCAATTTAGTTCGTCAAAAAGAGCGTAGATGATGGTGCTGCAGAAAAAGAAGGTACGGTCAAAGACATGATGTCATCACATCTTCTCACTATCAGCTAGCTCGACCACCACAAAGATGCTGCTCTAGTGATTAGCAACCAACAATCTTTCCTACCTTATCCTTTTCAAAAACTTTTTGTATATATGTGAGCTGAGATTATATTCTGCACAAATGGCAAAATCGTGTACACTCTGTTCTACACCGCGCCCGGTGCTAGTTCGGTGCCAAATCGACTCGACAGAGAAATGGCATTTTGTATGTCCTGGAGCATGCTGGAAGGCGGTCTCTGGGGGCGTGGAAGACGCAAAAGGTCTCAAGGAAGAGTTTCCGTATTACCGCTATGGTGGTATGGTGAGTGCAGTTCCTTTGGTGAACAGAGATGATGGTGCAAGTAGAGATATCGGTGCGAACAGAAGCTGACTGGGTGGTACGATGAAACAGTGGAAGGACAGGAGTGCAGATGGGCCGGTAAGCGCGAAGAAGCCGAAAAAAGTCAAGGAAAGGCAGAGGGAGGAGATGAAAGCTAGAGGAGGAGATGGTGGTGCAGAGGGTGGGGAGGTTGATGCTAAGGAGGCTGAAGATGGTACTGCATTGGCTTAGAGTAAGCAAAGACACAGTCGATTGGTATTATCAGTGATACTATTTTTCTTCCTCTGTTTGTGCAATGCGCGGGCGTGTAGCTGGTCATATCAAAGTTCGGCGATGGACGGATGGGGTGATGATAGTTGAAGTAGCAGGGCCAAAGGGGCATGGTGCGGACTAGCTGTCGTGACACGCGAAGTGCAGGTGCAGCTGGGGCAAGAGGTGGAGAAAAGGCAGTTGGTGGTTGCTTTGAGTTTATTGAAAATATCTATTCTTGACCGTGTGCACAGCCCGCTAGGACGAGGGCGAGGGATTTTGGGCCATCATGACGACGTTGGACATGTGTTTAGTCGGGACGTCGTGTTGCTATTGATAGATCTTTATGCAGCGGGGCTCTGCCATCGGTCCCTTGAGCCCATGCACTTAGTCATTAGCGGGGGGCAGCTATCGCAAGCGCCCGGACCCGCGGCCCCGTTGAGATGGGTCGCATCCTTTCTGCAATGGGCCTGGGATTGGCGATGCAGCGTTTGCTGGAAGAGCGACATGGTGTTGTTGATGTTGATGTTGTGGTTGTTGCGCTGCAATTGGCACCGAGGCCAAGGCGGAAGAAGGGTCGGGTAGTAGTAGGGCACGGCAAGCTAGGATAGGGCTTGGATGAGGTCAGGATGCAGACACGGGCTTTGGAGTTGATGCAGCATGTATGTAGGATGGGAAAGGTCAAGTATAGGCATGTTGGTGATTGCGGTAGGTCCGATGGTTGAGCCAACAGAGTAGTCCAACGTCAGCCACACGGCGGCCTTGGGCGCTACTCAGAAGATCAGACGGTCGGGGTACAGGCAGGCAGGGTGGCAGCGCAGTAAGGGTCCTGTCGCGTGCGCTGCCAGGGACAGGAGCCAGGAGCTGGTTCCTGAGGGTGTAGACATAGTCAGACGGCTGCTGTTAGTGCAGACGGGAAATGTATTTCGAGAAAGGTGCATGGCCAGGGCGGCAGCGTAGACGCGGAGACCA